TTATATTTTTATTATTTTATATAATTGATAAATTTAAATTCCTTAAAAAGAAATACTTTCAATATATATAAAAAATAAAGTAAAATAAAGAAATAAATCAAAAATTTCACATTCAATTGATTTATCATAGTATATTTCTAAAAAAATAAGAAAAAAAAATAAATTTTCATCCAAAAAATTACAATGATTTACTTACCTTAATTTGAAGATGAGAAATTTCCTAAAAAAAATAAGAAAAAAGCCCAAAAAGTTACCAACGATTTGCTTACCTTAAGAAATTTCCTAAAAAAAAAAAGAAAAAAAAAGGAAAATGGTAAATTTTCATCCAAAAAGTCCCAATGATTTGCTTACCTTAAAAAAAATTTTAAAAAAAAAAAATAAGAAAAAGAAAGAAAATGGTAAAATTTCACCCAAAAAGTCACAATGATTTGCTTACCTTAAGAAATTTTCTAAAAAAAAACAAGAAAAAGAAAGAAAAATAGTAAATTTTCATCCAAAAAGTCCCAACGATTTGCTTATCTTAAGAAATTTTCTAAAAAAAATAAGAAAAAGAAAAGAAAATGATAAAATTTCACCCATAAATTCATCAACAATTTGCTTACCTTAATTCCAAGATAATAATTTTCCTAAAAAAAAAAAAAGAAGGGAAAATCTACCAAAAGTCACTTCAGATTTACATTTTTTATTTTCAAAATAAAAATCCACCTAAAAACTTGCTTCTGATTTACTTATCTTATTTCCAAATGAGAATTTTCCTACAAAAATAAGAAAAAGAAGGAAAATCCATTCAAAAACTTATTTCTGATTTACTTATTTTTAAAATGAAAATTTTTCTAAAAAAAAAGAAAAAATAAGGAAAATAGTAAATTTTCACTTAAAGAATGATTTACCACATTTCTGAAATGAGAATTTTCCTAAAAAAAATGGTAAAAATCTTCAAGATTAGAAAAAAATTTAGAAAAAAGAAAGGAAAAAGAGGAAAAAGGTTAAAAAAAAGAAAAAAATTTTTTCAGATTAATCTGAAAGTTTCGATTAATCTGAAATTTATTCATAATTGTTCTAACCAATTTGATGATTGTTGTATTGTCCAATTAAAACATCGTTTCTATTGAATGATTTGTATTGTCTTTTAAGGGATGATGATTTGATTGTTCAAACAGATGACTTTTCATCATCTGATTAGAATGATAATGTTGATTTGAACAATAGTATATTGTTTTTTCAGAACGATAGTTTGATTGTTCTAATCAGATAATTTGCATTATCTGATTGAAATGATTTTGAATCATTCAATCGAATGATCATCATTCTAAACGAACAATTTTTTATCATTTTTAATGCACGATGATTTTATCGTTCCAAAGAGATGATTTTTTTGATTATTCTTATTGAACAATGATTTTATCATCCCAAAGAGATAATATTTTTAAATCGTTCAATAAAAACAATAGTCTATCATTCTAAAGGGACAATTTTTTAAATTATTCTTAATGAACGATGATTTATCATCCTAAAGGGATGATTTTTTTGATTATTCTTATTGAACGATAATGTATCGTTCCAAAGGGATGATTTTTTAAATCATTCAATAAGAACGATAGTCTATTGTTCTAAAGTGACGATTTTTTAATCATTTTTAATGAACGATCGATCTATCATCCCAAAGTGATGATTTTTTAAATTGTTCAATAAGAACGATGATGAATCATCTCAAAGGGATGATTTTTCAAATCGTTCAATAAGAACGAAGATGTAGCTTTGAACAAAAAAATAAATTAATAAATGATATCTAACCCATATATATGATTAGTTTTTATCGAAGAACTTGAATGCCTTTGCTTGGTCATAAGGTTGCCCCTTTGACAAAAATTGATTATAGTATAGTTTTATGCTGGAGAGGTATGGTTGTCTGGTGAATATCAAAGAACTTGATCGGCAATGGTCATAGCCTCTGATAAATTCTTTACACCATTTGACATAACTACAAATACCATCCCTAATTTGCACAAATAGTTAGGGAGAAGCGTTTATCAGTTTTAGAAAGAAATTCATTTTTTTTCAGAAATGTATTAAACCATTTAACTCCTTGTACTTCTGGATCCCCCAATTGTTCAGAAGAAATTGCATCCTGAATCCAAATAAGAAGAAGTTTAGCCTACTCTTCATCTCTTTCTAATGATTTAAATATCTGAGGATTATCCTGTTGGCCTTAGTATTTTGTGTATCCAGTTATACATCCATTAAATATGCATAAGTTTTTAATTTCAGTAGGATGAATGCAAAGCATGATTATTACATTAGCTATGGCCTGTTTGTCAGGTATATTAGACACATTGTACAAATCTAACCTTTTCTTAACAGATTCTAATAAAAAGTGATCTGAAAAATCAATTCCTTCATTTTTACGTTGACTCTTACACTCTTTTTGAATTTTGTTAGATGAGCAGGTTATATCAGAGACAAATGTAATAAAGATTATTTTTTGGGAGCATTAAGTTTTCACAACTCACTTTGAAGCCTATTAAGACAGGATGTGGTAATAACAGGATTAGTGATGGTTAAAGGCTTCTACTTCTCTAAATAGTATTTTCTAAATCCTCAGCTCTTGTTTTCATATCACTAGTTTTTTCTCAGTATTGACTATCACTTTTACTTCGTTTCATCAAGATTATCTTGGACAACACGTTGGGCTATACTTTCAATGGTTTCTCTACCTGAGATAATATCAGATACTTGGCATATATTAACTTCTCCTGCTTCACCTCCTTCTTCTTTGGGATTACTCAACTTCTACTTCGATAAATTCTCTGACCAGAAACTAATATAAATGTCTGCTCTTTGCTAAAATTATACCCTTTTTGAAAGTGCTATCAACCCTTGTCTCTTTTTACTTTATCTGTCAAAAGCTCAAGTAATGCTGGAGCATGCTGGCTAAATTCATTATTGCTCATCTCTTTATTGAGTTTGTGATCTGTAATATACTTTGTTACAATCGCGAATATGATAATATAGATATGAAGTAATATTAGATTATGCGTAACTATTAGGTTATATTATGCATAAAAAAGTTTAATTTAAAAAAATATTCCTGATAATTTACTATGTAATCTCTCTAGATCCCAGTCATGGTCAGTGAAGTCAGATAAGCAAAAAAAATAATATAACTTATGATCTAGTTGAAAAGAATATTTCATCGATTTGAAATATGCAGATAGATATGATATGCGAAAAAAAATATATAGTTATATAACCCCTATTCTAATGCTATGAATAGTCAAAGACCTAGATGTTAATACTTAGTAAAATATTCGTACTAGAGCTAAAATATGCTCTAGTTTAAAGCTTTTGTTTTAGTGAATGCATCATATAAAGTGTCCGATCTATACCTTGAAGGAATTAAATTCAGGTGATAGAGGAGTTTTATAAATATATTATTCCTTTAAGCTTTTGTCTTTTTATGCTTTCAAATTATCCCTATCAATATAGAAAATCTATCGTTGGAATAATTCATTTGGATTAAATTCTAAAATGAGGATTGTCTATTTTATTCTAGGGTAAATAAACCTATATCACTCTCAACAGCGGATTTCATACTAATAGGAAAGCTTTTACAAATATCTGATCTATTAGCTAGGATAGATAAAAGCGGAATTAGGACTAGGTAGTAAAAGTCAGCTAAGATATCTAATTCAAAATCACCAATGCATATGATTCCAATATCTTCTAAATAATCTGAAAGTCTATTAGCATATCTGAAACCTTCTTGAATCAGCTTTTGGAATAGCTTTTCATTTGGGTCAATCCATCAGCCAGTTAGTATATTAAGTACTGTTCTTTACATTATGTTTATAGTGTAAGTAAAAAAAGGTATTTATGTCTTATTTTATTACCGAATAATTTAAATACACATTTATTATAAAATTAATCCACAATAAAAGTGAACAGGATTCCATATTCTAAAATACTTATATGGATTGTATTACTTGCCCATATATCAAGAGAGACAGTACTATTTGTAAAAGAGTTTGCATTTACATTACTGGCTGTACAAAACATCACATATTGTATGAAAAAATATGAAAAAAAACCTGCCTTATTATTAGTTATGATAAACTTACAGATTCTACTACAGAATGTCCTGACCATTTAGGTAGATTTTATTCGCTAAATTATTGAATGAGGCAGAAATATGAGGCTGAGGTCCTTCAACCCATAAAAACATCAGAATTATCTGCTGAGAAGTGAGAAAAATATATTATTTCATTCATTAGTCGATTGTGATTGGAGTGGCATAAAGATAGAGATATTTTTTAAAAATACATACTTGGATAAGTGTAGTCTTCTTCAGAAATATTATATAAAAAATTGGAAGAAGATTACACCTTTCTAATGCATAATCAAATAGTATTAACATATATCAAATAAATCTTGAATATCTTTTGCGATATGCATAGTATCTACATTGCTAGAACTAGAGAAATTACCTAATAACAATTCGTCCAATAAGAGCTTACTATACCCATATCATATATCTCCTCTTTTTTCCCAATAAACTTCTTTTCCTGTTTAGTATAAAGGTAATTCAGCAGTGTCTTTAGTATTGAATGATCCAACTAGATGGTAATAGTCTTAAATTTTAATCCATAAGTTGCGTAGTGATGCAGTTAATAAACTAAATTTTGCTCGAATTGTCTTTAATTCTAATTTTTTAGTACTGCATGATGCATCTACATTATCAAAAAACTGAGCTATTTTAGAAACTAAACCCTAGAAATATAATATTAATTTAGAAGAATCTATACGCTTCTTAACATCATCAGCTTTATATCGTATTCTATCATCAATATCCCTAGCTGATATGTAAATTCTTAATAATTCTAGGCAAATTTAATGCCTCTCAGCTTGAGTTGTAGTGTTATAGTTGTAAGTCTATCTTCTCTATAATCTTTATGGAAAATAGCCTCAACTGCTGCTTCATTATTAATACCAGCATCTTGTAGTTATCTATAAACTCTAAACCATTTCATGTAATTGTAATTTCCATATTTTAAGATGAAGTTTTCGGTTAGTAATTCAGGTAAAATCCTATAGCATTTCACAATATGATGCTGGTCTAAAGAGTGCATCTCTTCTAAAGTCTTCTTTGGCTTATTCTCCAATAATTTAGTAGTCTCATGATTGATAATAGAAGCATTAGATATATCTGATATCTCCTCTGCTTTAACAATAGAAGAACTCATTTTCACTGCTTGGGATAGTAATATTATAGTATCTTCAGATTTAGGAACGAATTTCATGACAGAAACTACCATACCTACCTTTTGGAGAAAATCAACCATCCTCTGACCAAATAAACATTGGGAACAGAAAATTTCTAACATATATACTACCCACAATCGAATAATTAGCATGTCTTTATTCTAGATAATAGAATTTATATCTGGAAAAATCCCTCTATTCTGAAGTTCATGAAGAAGGTATTCACGTTTGGTATTCAGTAACCATTAAAATAATCCTTTTTTTGTAATAGGAATATTGGATGATCTTTGTTCGATATAGCATACATAATCCTTAATGCATCGCATGTGGAATAACATTTGATTTCTTCTAGTATTTATTTCTATATAACTATTAAAGATACAAAATGCTTATTTAAACTTAGGATTAATGCAAAATACTCCTATTTTTAAAGTATTGGTATAAGTAACTAGGTCAATATCTTTCTATGATTGCTAAAATCTTGAGTTTTTTTCATTAGATCAGATTTACTGTGATATTTCTTGATCCTTAGTTCTAAAAATTCAATTTTGAGAACACAAACAATTCCTTGTAAAATCTTTTTTAAGATGGCAAATAAGTGATACATTTTTACGATTCTCAAAAGGTAATAAGGAAGTCTGCTTGGCCTAATCCCAGAATTCAACTAATATAGATTCTTTATTAGAAGCTAGGTGGAATGTTTTACCTTTTTGAAACTGGTAATTATTATGAATAATTGAAAATAGTTTTCCTTGTGAAGAGCTTTAATCCATTCAATATTAAGATCAATAAGATCATTATCCATAAAGATAATACATCTCGCATTTTGAATTAGTTTATACAATTTCTCTATTAATAGCCACACTAAATGACTTTGTGTCTAAGTAATTATAGATACTATTTCATCAAGCCATTAATCATATTGGCTCAGAGAACCTTTACATTTTTTATCACATTTGCAATTATTGATAATACGATATAAACTCTCTATCTGACACACTACCCTCTTGTGATTAGATAGATTTATATTACTATTAATATCATAATATAATTTAAGATTAAGTCTTGTAGTAATAGTATTTGAGTAAAAGTGATGTGTAGATAATACAAGCAAATTTACATTATCAGAAATAGCCAGATTTTTAAAAATATATGTTTTTCCTGTTTCCCAAGGTAATCCAACATAAATATCACCTTCATTAGTTAATGGTTTTATATACCTCTTCTCGTATGTTTCTGTTACTATAATAGGTTTATTATACTTGACCTAAGATGGAAATTTTATGAAGGCTTTGGAAAAACTCAGATTTTTTATCTTGTGAAAGGATTGTGAAGAATTTTTATTTTCTTGCTGGATTTTTTTCACAATAGATGAGTCACATTCAAAAATTTTTCTACGCTTATTACTATTATTACTATTCTACCAAAAATATTTTACGATGAATTTACCACTAGCGTATACACAGCTGAACCACTACTGATCCTTATCATGTATAAGTTTACAGAGTGAACATCCTAGTAGAGCTTTTCGATTAAAATATATGAAGTTTTCTGAGTTCTTTTCTTCAATAGAATATTTTGCAAAACTAGATTTATGAATTTCTGTAATACATTCTGACCATGGATATTCTTAGCGGATTATTATTTTTTCTGTACTAAGCATTCGAGGTCTTATTTCAAGCCCTAAGCTAGTAGGTAGTTAAACTCTGGTATGATCATTTTCATTCTACTCATTATCTAGTAAAAATTGAAGAATATGTTTTACACAACCTTTTTTTGCTGAATTAATAAGGCAAATGTTAAAATTTTGATCAGGTAATTTCTGATCAATAAACTTGCTGAATTTTTCACCAGTTATGATATATACTAATTTAGTAAATGCTTTGAGTTCATGATGATCAATAAGAAGAACCAGTACATATAAAATATGATAGCTATACTTGCTAGAATCTGATAATGTAGCAATTACTAATCTATTAAGAATATTCTCCCAGCTACAATCAAGAATTTGATATAAGACTTTTATGAAAGATAGGCAGATTCAAAAGAATACTTCTTGCGTCTTAACATCAGTTGTTTCTATATCTTCTTGTAAAGCATCTATATTAATCACAGCTTTTAAAGGTTTTTGACTATTAATACATTCATGAATTTCAGGTAAGTCATATACTTCAGAAATATTATCGACAACAGAAAATTTGGGAGCATGATTATTATCTTAGTCGATTTTGATAACTAATTTACCTTCCACCTCACTTTAGTTATAAGCATTATATAAACTAGACCCCTTTTCATTCGGAAAGAGGAATAAATAAATTGGAAAACATTCTAATAATCCTTTATCATTTGACATATCTCTAGGTGGTGATGAGAGAATTTTCTGAATGGCATTTATTAAATCTTTAGAAGAAAATTTATCATTAAACTTTTCCTTTCTTAAAGTATATGTTGCATAAACATTTTACACTTGTACATTTGGAAGCTGAACTAATAGAGTTCCAGTAATGTTAGTTAAAGCATAAAGAGCTTCTTCATTATCAGATTCATAATTAGACTTGTAGTTATTATAAACATCTGACCTCAAATCAAATTCATTATCATTATAATTATCTGAGTCACTTAAGTATTCATTGGACTTAGCGCTATCATAGTGGGTGAGTGTTGAGTTAGTTCATGATTTTGGTTAGAAGTAATTGAGGTATATATAGTGTCAGTAGGTAAAACTTTATATACTCCAATATATTTTCGAAATGTTTAATTTATTTTTTCGATAGATGTAAAAGAGATGTATAGCTCATTAGTAAAAAAATTGTAAATAAATATATTCTTAATAGGTGATACTTTGGGTATTCTTCTTTAGAAATATTATATAAGTATTGGTAGAAGAATACCCTATCACTAGTAGTCAGATATATGTATTTTGTGTAGTCTTCTTCAGAATATTATATAAAATATTAGAAAAAGACTACACTTTCTAGGTATGTACTTAGCATGATATAACCTTCGCATAATATAGAGATATATTAAAAAAGAGATACGAAGTTAGCACTTCTAATTCTCTAACTAACTAATCCATTAACCTAAACTCTAAATGCCATTCAAATATTCCTTAAATATCTCTTAAAGGTTGCGAAAAGGTGATAGGAAAAGAGGAAGACTAGAGCCTGATCACGTGAATACAATAAGCAAATTGCAAAAGAAAGGTAAAATAATATACATTTAGAGAATAAGTTTTCTTCGTAATTATTATATAAAAATTGGAAGAAGACTTATATGTATTCGGGTATATAGGAGCTTTACAGTAGAAAGGAAGAAAACTCTAAAAAAATTAAAATTCTATTTTCTAAGCTAATTATGATTTTTTTAGTAAAATAAATTCAGATTTAACATTAACTCAAAAAAAATTTTTTTAGAGTTTTCTCCCTTTCTATTACAAAGCTCCCATATATTCAGTTGAAAAGACTTAGTATCTTTCGTCATATAATTTAGATAATTTCAGCCAGCATTATTCTGTATTTTTTTATTAGAATTTTAGACACAATATTTTAGCATTCAAGCTAGCATAAAACTAGTAAACTAATAGAACATCTCTAGACTTTCTCCAGTTCCATAACAGTTTCTGGAGAGTTTAATAATATTACCAAAATGCTATCACGATGCTATCATGATACTAAATTGGATTCTCAAATCACATGCTTAAAAGATCGGCCAGAGTTATACTATAGAGTCAGCAAAAATTAATCACAAATACACTGTGTCACCTATCACATCTTTTTTTATACCATTTCAGTATTTTAAAAGGCAATCAAATATGCGTAAATTCTCAATATAGAACTAGCAATCAAACAAGCACAAAGTGTCAGTATTCTTAACATGGAATCAGGATGGAAAGCCAATACCAACAATGTAGAATTTATAATGTAAATAAATTAGAAACAAGAAGAAAGCAATCACCATTAGATCATGATATCACCATTAAATTAAAGCATTTCCAGCTACCATTAGACTATGAAAATCACCATTATATTATACAAAAAATGATTGAAACAATGTTATAAACACAAAGAAGTTACCCATAAGTAGGTTATAAAGTCACTATCAGATTAGAATAGTAAGTTATGAAGTTACTACCAGATCATGAAATTAGATTATAAAATCACCATTTATTATGAAGTTACTGACAGACTATGAAGTTACTATTATGTTATGAAGTTACCAGCAGACTATGAAGTTACTATTATACTATGAAATTACTGGCAGATTATGAAGTTACCTTTATGATCTAACCCAAGTCGCATATGACTTTCATAATATAATTATATTATGAAAGTCACATGCAACTGATTACTAAAATTGATATACTTTGATCAAAAATTCAAATTATTTATTTAAAATTATAAAAATCAATTTTTAAGTTAATACAATTATAAAATATATAATTTCTTAATAGGTATAAACAGAAAATTTAGATTTAAATGATTTAAGTGATTATAAATCTGCTGAATAACCTTAAATATATTAAATATTAAAAAGTTGATAATTAATTACTTTTAATTATTAAAACTAATTTAAAAAAATAAAAAAATTTTATAATTTAATATTGATTTTTTTATTTTTTTATAACTTAAAAACTCAATTTGATAATAAATTTATAATGATATATACTAACTTATTATTAATTAATTTTTATTTTTTTATTTTATTATGACCAATAATTAATTTTCAAAATAAATAAATTTGCTTACAAAATAATTGAATGATAATAATATTTTTAAAATAATAAATATTTATTATTAAAAATTAATTTACTTTTAGATTTTAAAAAATAACTTTATTATAACTTTAATTAATAAAAATATCTTTAAACTTTAATGTGTTTTAATAATAAAAAAGTATTTAATAATTAAATCTGTAATAATTTCAAAACTAAAATACAATAAAATAAAGTTATAAAATCTAATTTTATAAAATTTACGAAACTGACTTTACTTTTCATCAAACATCTTAAAAAGCTATTAATTTATGAACAGATTATTTGTAAATTATTGATATATACATGTACTGCAAATGTTTTATCCTAAATTCATAATGTATTTTGGCAATAGCAAAAAATAAATAAATAAATTAACAAAAGAAGAGAAATTCATAAGAAAATGTGATTTGGTTGCCGATATTAATCATACTACATATCGATTTTGCTCATATTCATAATCATTATAATTCTCAAAATCAAATAAAAAGTGTGACAACAAAACTCTTTTAGGTTTCTCGCTTTGTCCTTGGTCGTTTATAGTCTCGCCATCAAAATCCTTGAAACGATTAATTATTCGAGTTATAGATAAAGCACCAATAGCCAATACTACCTTTGTTACATACACATTATTGCTCAATGGCCACCCCACTACAAGCGTTAACATACCTATGACTATTGCATGGCATGTAGTTGAGATAAGTCTTACATAGAATGGGGAAATGCAACAGCCGAATAATGACAGAAACAAAAGCAGAAACGCAAACCCCAAGGCTGTTGTGAGCAATATACTAGAAAGTCCACACCTGAAAGATTTGAAAGGTCCCTCACAAATAGGGGCCAAGAAATAAGGATTTATTTGACGAATATTACTCACTATTTCAGATGCATAAACAAATCCCACTGCTAACACATTAGCGACAAAGAGAAATGCATAGATGGTACTCCAACATCTCTTAGACCGTCTAAATAAATTTTCTTTCATGATATAAAGTATTTCAAACGCTAATATTACCATCGCTGGGACCAAGGCGATAAGTATCCCAATGATTTTGGTGTGAGTAATATCGTCTTTTATGATGTAGAAATAAAAGAAGCCAGTAGGAGTGAGGAGGCTAACGTAGATTATGAAATCGTCTAAAACAGTGCGCACATTTTTGTTTTTCTGTCTTTTCGTCTCAAAAAGAGTTATTGCTAACAATGGCACCATGACCGTGAGGAGAAATGTGGTAGCGTCACCGGTGGCATCATACATTACTGCCTGAGCGTGGATTGACGTTGGAAATTCGATCAAAAGTAAGAATGATATCAAGCACAAATGTTTCATTTTGTTTTTGTTTTTGTTTATTTATTTTATAAGGATATAGTTCGTTTTACGATCGTTTTAATCACTTTATTCGTTTTAATTCGAGTAGTTTCCTTTTTTTAAAGCTGTTTTTAAAATGTAGGAAGTAACATACAGTAAAGAAAATGATTGCATAAATTTATGTTAGAAATTTGCAACTCGGAAGCTAGAATTCAATTACAAACAAAAAAAGAGATTTCATTTATCGATAACGGAATCTTAAGTCCGAGTTTGTGTTTCCGCATAATGAGACAAAAATTCTGTATATATATATGCGTACGAGTTTCAGAAAATTCCATAGTACTCAAATGTCCCGCCGAATTGGAAATGATGAGCGAAATATTCTTAAAATATTTGTTCATTTACTATAAACAAGTAGCACATTACTCGCACTTGCAGAATTGGTTTTACCTAATTATCTCATATCATTAATTATGTGTCGAAAATTATATAGTTATTTTTCGAGCTTTCGTTATTTAATTATGAATGTAAAATACGATCGCCGCCTCTGAGATCGCATTAATTCGACTAAATATTGCAAATTTAATTTGGAATGAATTTTCTCAGGATAAAGATTGGTTATAATTAACCTTTGTATTTCAATTTTTGGCTTTACCTTTTGTAGATTGTTCTGATAAATCTTGTGGATTCATCACTTGGATATTTTATATTCTTGAGAAAATCTGCCATATCTTTGAGATAATGTTTGGTAAGATTTTTTGATTGAATCAATTTTTTTTTTAATTAACCAGATATTATTATAACACTAGATTAATAAAGAAAATATTTTATTTAATACATTTTTCTATTTCAAGTACAACATTTTCAATATTCATTTTTATCTTACTAGCAGATTTATTGATATGATTTTACATTGATTGTGTACTCCTTAGAATAGCATTATTTTTTTTTGTATTTTAAATTTCTATGCAGTAATGCATCTTAACCTTTATTATATAACAAAACAAGTAAATAAAAAAAAATTAGAAATGAGAATTCTATTGCTAGGTAAAAGATACTAATTCTGAGTAATAACCAGGATTAAACTAAGTTTTACTAGATACCGTTTGATGACTTCAAGCTAAAATTAATAATTTCAATTAAATTTTATTACTGCCAAAAAATGAGCAGTAAATATAACAACAAGTATTCTATTTCATTGAATTCAGGTCAAAAAATGATTGAGCAATATTGAATATAGCGGTGAGATTGGTCAAACTATCTGTAATCCATATTGGATTATCCATATAGGTAGAGTTAGGTATATGTGCAGTGATCTCAGATGTGTCAGTTTTGGTGATATCTGGCTGCTATGAAACAGACATTTTGTATCCATAATTAGACTTTTGAATACGTGATAAAAGAGGGTCATAATAAATGACCTATAGCAAAGGAGAAATGACTTCTTCTTGATCAATTTCAACAATGATGTCATAAGGATCTGTGTTGCCATGTGCAGTAAAACTGAGTTTTTCCAATTCAAAAAAAGATTTGTGATAATGTTAGTGAATACAGAAGGAATTTTAATCTTACCATCACTTTTCTAAGCATAACACGATCATATGCTTTGGACATATCTTGAAAGAGGATCCCTATAAGAAATCGAAATAAGGAAATGATACGTTTTTTATAAGGTTTGT